CGACGGGCAATTTTGGAGGGAGAGAAAACAAAAACCGGGGTATCTTCGAGGCGCGTACAGCGCAAATGCGTGGATCGGTCGCAAACTTGCAACGAGCCCCTTCCTCGCCTTGGACGAACATCTCCGGCCCTGCGGCGTGGCTTGCTGCTAGTGCATCGCTTCGCTCCGAGTGGCAGGCGCGCCCGCCCAGCCGCAGCGAAGGCCATGGGCGTGGCAACCCGCAAAACTCCCGAGTCGCGCTGGCAGACGGCGACTGACCAATCCTCTGCCCCCCAAGAACATTCATTTACATAGAATATTACATTTATCCCAATATACTATGATCGAGGTATGAGACCGTATCCCGCCACCAAAAACGAACGTGTAATATTCGATTGAATAATGATCAATGCGAACTACAGTGGTCAAAGTGCCATTTTGTAAACTGAATATCTACTGAATGGGTCCACTGGCTTTATTTCACATCCGAAGAAAAAACGGACAGAATCACCCCCTTACAACTGTGCCCCGGTATCAGGATCGAATCTCAACACTTCAGATAGCACGACACTTCTAAACCATAATTATCAGTACCCACAATGCTATCATAACCATCACATCTATAAACTCTGTTTTTAGGATTTCCAAGATTTTAATGAGAACGTACAATACAAAGTTCAAAATATTGCAACAATGAAATGTGTAGTTTTAATGTATCATTTAGCAATAAATATCATATGAGATATTTAATATCAGTTTAGACACGTACAGATTAAATGAAGCCGCCAAACAATTATTTAAACCGTTAGACGAGAGCTTAATCTACCATTGTACTCTGAAGTCAAGAACAAAATTGTCAAAAAGTCAACACAAAAATTGACATGACATTATAATATGCAATTTACGGCAACAAAATGTAATATATTGTTATTAGTAAATATACTGAACCAGTATTTTCAACTTTTCTGATCTGATTGCGATTCACTTCTTACAAGTATCTACTAAAGAAGTTGAATGACCATGTCATTAAAAAAACACCAACAACTGCAATTGATATTCTGCTTTTCCTACGTACTTTTCGACCATAATAGGATGGAGACAGCCACGAACTAGAATCATCTTCCTAACTACAGTAATAACACTTAGTGAATAACATTACCCAACATAAAAGCACTGGAAAACGAGGAAAATATTCTTAAAATGAACATTGAATTTGTCACAAGTGTCTACGATGTGGTTTACACGCAAATCACAAACATGCTACAAACTATTAAAACAAAACATTACTGTTCGGAGCGTACCTTCCAAGTACAGCAAACATGCAGCTCCAGCAGTAGAAGCTCGAAATACTGCAGTATCTCAGGCAAAAATGATAAACATATTCATTTCTGATATATTTTGAAGAGAACACAATTCTGAATAGGGAGTGTTCTCAAAAATTATCAAGTCCTAAAAAATCGAAGATTTCAAAACCGGCTTTGCATAAAATAACACGGCAACTGTCAAGTAAGGTAGCCTCTACTGTTACCTTTACTCTGTTTACTTTATTTTTAAAACCGCAGTGATAATGAAGGGATATAATACTTCGCCATGCAATGGTGATGGCACTGCATCGGCAATGCGATTCCATACAGATAATTATTACCGCTTACTTACCAAATTAGAATAAGAAAATTAACCCAACTTTAAAATCCAGTTACACTGACACATTTAAAATTCGTATATATACAATATTTAACATAACTTGGTTCTCTTTACGAGTAGTTTAGTTATTTCTAATTAAATTTCAAAACTATCGCATTTTTTCAAAATTTTAATTTGTTGACAATTTAGGTAGTTCAATGAACATGACACCAGTGCTTTTCTTCTGTGCGTCCCTTGTTTTATCCGTGGAGAACTTTAAAGAAAAAATATGGCACGTTTCTGGAGAAAAAAATATTTATAAAGTGCATTAATTTCAGGCACAAATGAAAAGAAAACAACTAGGCTCCGAGAAAAATTGTACACGACCTTTTTTAAGAGCTGCTTTTTTAGAGCAGATTTTGTTCAAGGCAAAAATCTCGATCTTTAACTTTGTAGCTTTAAAATGTTAACTTTTTGCATTTTCGGAGAAAAAACAGTTCGCTCGAAATTAGACTAGCACTTTTTTACCGTCTTTGGATACATACGAGGAGAATGAAGGTTAGCCGTCAATCGACGTTTTGATATCGAGGGCTCACTAAACACGGAACCTAAGAGGAAGTTATTTATTACACGCAGGAACAAGATATAACATTTTTTCGATACCAGGACCCAGAGATAAGAGCTTTTTCAGTCAAAAATTAGTATTTTCCGGCCCACGATTACAATACATTTCTTGTACACGTAGGGGCGAGAAAGTAAAAATTAAAAAGCAATGTACACGACAGGAGTTATCTTCAAATTAAGGAAAAAGTAAATTGGATATAGGTTCTGAAAAAAAGTTTCTTAGCCCAAAAATAATACGCATTGATCCCACTAAGAATGTACTGTTAAAAAAGCAACCAAAATAAAAACTTTGCCAGATAAAAGCATTCAATAAGTATTTTTCACGCGATTGAATTGATATAAATAATTCAACCGCGACTATATGAATGAGAACATTTTCTAACGCTTTATTGTCTAGGCTTCAAAATCGCAAAATTATCCCCACTTTTATTCGCATAAGTATTCCTCATTTAATGTGGAACTGAAAGACTATTTTCATTTATTCACCTCCTGTCACAGTTATATTATTAGTTTTACTTAAGGGTAAATGTCCTAAAATTAAATACGTAAACATTAATAGCAACGGGAACCCAAACGGCATTCATTGATCGCCCACGTTACGAACCATATGGCACTTACAGTTTTAGATCGAGAAAAACTAAGGGATCTTAATTTATTTTCCACTCGTAATTGCACAACTACTAAATACGACTTGAACGTTTCTAGGCAATTAGAAAGTGGTTCAATTTTTTTTATATAGTTCTTACTAATAGGAAGTCCACAAGCAAAATTTTAGGGTCGACGTAGAGAAGATCGAAAACCCAAGGCAAATTAACTTCTAGAACGCGTGTTATAGACAATCAAGCTATCGAAAGTACTACAAACGGAATCTACCCAGAGAACCTAGTTTCATCGACTGAGATTAGACGAGGTTATCACTAATTTTACGGAAATTAATTTCAATTTCTTGAATTGCCATATCAACAGAAATCATGGATAGTGCAATGTACTCATTCGCAATATTTATCACATTAGATGCAATTTCGTCGTTAAATAAGCCCTTCTCAAGGGCGAGTTGATTCTCTTTTTCAACGTTCAAGATACTAATCGTAGTATTACTAGGATGCTCTTTTCGCCACTGTTAACTTGAAACAGCGTATAAACTTATGTTATTTTTTGTTCGAAATTTATGAAAAGACGTCGGCAAAACGAACCTTTTTGACAACACACGGACAAGAATACTCTCTCCAACTTCACAACAATGAAAAGTATAATACAATACACATCAACAGTAAATAACATACTGAGATAAAATTGAGAGCTGCTTAGTAATTTGAAGAAAAGATTTAGGAGAGTTATCCTCAAGAAGCTTCCTATTTTGAAGTTAAGAACAATGTCAGATTTTGATTTTTAAGTTACATTTTATAGTAAACCATTTTTAAACAATCTACAAATGTTGAAATTATTACATTAAAGAGTTTAACCAACCTTCACCTTGCAATAGAGCTATATTTATAATTGGATATTGTGGCCTCTCACTAATTTAATTTTTAATGTATGAAAAATACAAACATACTTTACAGATATGCACTACTGCTTCTAAGAACATGAACTAGATACAAATATCAAAAGATAAATAAATAAAGAAATAGGAATAACATTTTGTCTAATTCTCATACATTGGGATTTCTTTACATGTGTAATTGTAATTACATTATATTTCAAATTGAAGCAAACTTAATTTTAAAGGTTTCTGGATGCACAAAACTTTCACTTATAAACAATTACCATCTGACTATTCCAACAAACTGTACACCAGTAACTAATAAGAAGCTAAGAATTTATTGAAATATCTTTTATAAAAACAATCACTGAAAAACGGTTGAGGAATACTAATCTCTACTTCAGTCTGACACCCAATCACATCTTTCCAACCATTCATTATGTAAGTCATGGTCAGATGAAAATTACTGTTGATATAGGTAAAGAAGCCGCACTAAATTATTACAATCAATGTAATTATTATAAAACCATTACAGCACACAGTTTTCAAGTAATTTAGGCAACAAAAAATATAAAATTCTTATTTTTACAAACACTCACATTAAACAAGAATATTTTGTAAACATACTTTCTAAACTAGGTATTGACCCATTTCTCGTGGGCAGGGTTCACAATAAGACTTTAGTTAATACTTCGAAATATATAATTATGGTAACATGAATTATTGTAGGGGAAACTAGCCTAATAAATGTTTGGCTTCAACAAAAGAATAAAAGAAACTTACTGAAAATCCTTAACTCAGACATGAAAGCAAAAGAACAAAGGGGAAACATTCAGGAAAAAATTACAAACTAAGAAATGAATTTTGCCAATCAGGACTTTAAAAGGTTATTTCACTGGATGTTGTAATAATCACTACACTATTTTTTAAACATACCAGTTTCCAACAAAAAAACAAACTACTTAACTTCTAGCAATTCAGAGAATATCCAGAAGGCTATTAAACACAAATCAAAATCAAATGGCCAGTTAATTATAGATAGTATTCACATCATATTTATGTAATTTGGAACTCATTAAAATTCATACATTAAAGTAGTCCACCAAAACATCGCACTACCACAGATGACAGGACGGCAAGTGTTTACTGAGAACATGCTCATTTCGTAGTAACAATATACATAAATCGCCTTCAACACATGCAATTAGAAATGTTTATAATAAAACAAAATCTCTCATCTATCAATTCGCAAAATGTAAAGAGAAAATGTGCTGGAAATGGTTGAGCTTACCCAATGCATATATAATTACAGATCCTCTTGTTTATTTCAAGCATTCACACATGCATACATTACAGGAAAACGCGACGATAATAAACACAATTTTCTGAACACCTTAGTTCAACAGCTGATGTCGAATGTTGGCGAAAACAAAATTTACTAAAACTAACAAAGGCAATACTGCATGCCTAGCTCGTAAGGCGACAATAGCAGACAAAGCGGATGTGAATCGTCAATTGTTTGACATTGTGTGTTGTAATCCCAACTAAATTAAACAATTTAGATCTTTAAACTACTTTGATAAACACGGAAAGCAAATCGTGTCCTAATAACACTTCGCATCGTCATAAAGCTCACGGCCTAACTGTTTGGTACTCGCATTGCTCTTGCTCTACTGAAATAATGTCCTCTCCAACCTATACCAGAGGTATTTTGAGCGGAACAGTGGTGAAGGTGGCAGCCCGTACAGTGCCCGTGGCAGACAGCATTTCCCCGCTCTCTACATCTTACATCTCGCATATCTGTTTGTCGGCTGACTTCAGAAGTTACCATCTGCTTACGGGTAATGCTTGTGACGTCTACCTATTTTATCTACCAAGACGCCGATGTGGCAAGCGACCGTATAGGGAACGTTATGGACATTTTGACCGTCGAGGCAATGTAGTACCATTGTTATGAGAATAATGAACAGGCAAAGGTGCTTTTGATGTGCACAATTGGAACTGTTTGTTAATGCCTGCTCGTGATTTCTAGTGAGTATGGGTTTGTTATTATGTTCATGAAGTTTTTTTTATGTATTCCTGGCCGAATTTAGTGTCATCAAATGGAGGGAAGAAAATGAGTGTCTGACATCATTTGACAGTGTGAGAAGATTTGGAGTGTTTGTAAACAAAACAAGATTTGAAAAAATCTTTATCAAAACTTTATTGACAATCAACCTACAAGATCATTACTAATGTTGTAGTTTAATAATAGTTAGAGGTTATTGTAAAATATCAGAATTATGTGAGGTTTGTTTTAAAAGTAGGTTATTGTGCTACTCAGTTTTCTCCTCTCTATTTTGTACCATTTATTTTTATCTATGATTTTGAGAGTGAAATGCAATATTTAGATGTCATTATTGTTTTGCTTTTCATTATAAAGATTATAAATTCTCAAATAGGATATTTCATTAATACAAACTGTTATCAAAAGAGGTTAGTAGAACATACTTGATTAACAAATAATATGAATTTTAAAAAATGAATACTGTTTCTAACATATGATGTTGTCTAACTAAATTACCTTTTCCGTTTATGTTGTTGGAATTAACCTCTTGGATCAGATGTTTACATTACTATTTGAAATAACCTCAGAGAACATTTAACCGAGCAGCATGTTTCTGTAAAGATGCAGTGAATGTGTTCTGAAAGCGGTGAAGATGAGCACGCCACGATTTGCTCGTGGCAGCAAAAGCAGGTTGTTCCTGTACATTGGCGCCATCACTGTGGCTGGTGTAGTTGTTTATTTCTTCCATCGTGCTCAAGTGGAACTGTATGACTACCAGAGAAAATCAGAAAAATGCATTCAACAACAAGAGTCTTTGTCAGCTCAATTCCAAGGTAATTATGAAGATTTTATTTTGATTTTGGACGTTTTGAGTTATTGTTAAGTTATAATGTTATAAAATAGTAAAAGCATTAACGTGTAATGCATGTGAAATTTTAAAAAATATTTTGGAATTTTTTTAACCTTACAATGAAACTGCATGGCAAGATTATATCAGGTTTTACTAAATTTTCTAATTTTTTTTCTATGTTCAGATGAAATGAAATTGTCACATGACACGATATGATTTTGAAAAACCTGCATACAAAAGCAGTTTAAAATGTTGAGAAAGAACTTGCTTGATTCAATACCTGATTCATATATTTTCTTTGTATCTAAGAAGCGTTAGAATTTATTCTTTGAAAAATAATACTACTTTTGCACTTTAAAATCTATTTAATATATACATGTTCAAAAAAGTTTGCAATTTTTTTTTCAGAAATATTAGTAAATTATTTTTAAATGATCAGAATCTTTATTATAATATTATCATTAGACATTGATTATGGTAAAAATGTAATCAGTGTCTAAAAATAAATTTGTTTAATGGATAAATTTAACAGAATATATATTTCAGAGAAATTTTTACCATTTGCATGAATGTATAATGAATTTTCTGTACATTGTGATGAAATTTAATGAATACTCATATTATTTTATTTTATTTTTTAGTTATAATAGAGTACAAAGTAAGACTGGAAAAGTCTCTTCAACAAGAAAAATCAGAACATCGACAGTTAAGAGAAGAGCTTCAAGGAAAATTAGACGAAGAAAAACAAATTCGAGAAAAAGAAAATCTTGAAAATATTAACAAATTTACATCACTTCAACAGCAGTATAAAATATTACAGGTAATACAAAAAACTACTTTCAGTAAATTGTGTTATTATTACATTAAACAGTTGTTATAATTATTCATGTAGAAATTTGTATCCTATCAAAAGTCAATTTGCTTCAACATGTTTTATAGTTATTGATATCACATTTATTTGTTAAGATGTTTTATGATACTAGAAACTAGTTTTGGAATTATCAATACCAATTAAATTAATATTGTAAATTTAAATAATTATTGAATTTGAAAATTCTCATTTTATAAGTTGTTGTTGTTGTTGTTGTTGTTGGTGGAATAATAATCCAAATAGATTTTTTGCAATTCCTGCTCTTTCAGACTCTGAAAAATTAAGAAGTCTAAATCTTGTGAGTTAGTGTTAGACAAAAGACAAAAATGGGACATTAACATTAATGTTCACTCAATGATTACATGTTATTTATTTAATTGTATTTTCATACCAAATACAATTTGTACGGGATAATGATAGTTTGACGAGTATCTGATTGTCGTAGAGTAAGAAACACCTTCGATGCAGAGTGTGTTAAGGGGATGATCTCGTGGAGATGATTCTGTTTCATTCATTCATAATTAATACTTCTGATTACCTTTTTTATTTCTAAATGTTTTTTTGTATAATACTTTATATAAAGCAGCCATATTTGTGACTATCCCATGCCGATGTAGACTAAACAAGTGCACCCATTTGTGAATATGATCGAACTTCATTACCCAGAAGTGTTTTGCTTTGGATAATTGTGCATGACTGTAAGCAACAAATAATCTGTGGACTCTGAATTTGAAATGTGTTGCCCTGTAGTAAGGGGCTGTTAAACTGGTTCAGCCTGTGAGACAGGAGTGTGTTACAGGTTGCATACCCGTCCCCTGAAATACATCATCCTTGAGGAGAAACCTATGAATGAAATTCAATGATAATAAATTAAAGAAGCATAGTGCTAGAGAATTCAGAATTTTAGACACAACAATCCTATGTAAATTGAGATGTCATTTCATAATTGATTAATTAAGTTGTCCTGAATTATACCATGACATATGCTCAAAATCGTCAGTATGTTGATACGAAGTACACTGTTATATACTGTTTAATATGAAGTACACTGTTAATTTTGCAGTTAAGATTTTCAGATTTACAGCATTTTTAGTAATGATTAAGTAATTAAAATTTAAAGGCATAAAGGAACCCGGATTTGTTTCATATTTATTTTCTATTAAATGTACGTATTTAACTCTTTGCCCATTTGCTGGCTATATAGTTTTCCCCTCAGGTTCTCAAGGGTACCTCGGAGGGATTTTGTGCCTCATCTACGTGTAGAAATGTAATCAGGACCAGGTAAATAAACTAGAACATTCCCCTTAATGTTTTAATACTCCCTGAAATGAATATCTCAGGATCAAAAAGCACATCTTGATTTCCAAACAATCTATGTATTTAAAACACTTAGGATTTTTGTTTATAAAAAAGTTTAATCTTCCTACTCATCCATGTTTAGTATTTTTTTCTTTAACTGAAAGATGGAGAGTTCTAGATGTTGTAACGAACTCTTATTAACCAGTTTTATTGTATTATAAACACTAAATTTTAATCACGTAAAATTAATAGAATGAATACTTGTCTGCCATATTTTGTTAATTATGTCATTTTCAGGACTAACAGTTCTGGAATGTAATAGGTGTTGGTTGGTTTGTTGTGCGAGTTGCAATTGATTTTAAAAAAGCAGTAGGTGTTTTTTCGTCCATCACAAGCATGCATACAAAAATGTGATTATAGTTGCAGAAGCAAAGATAGAGTTTAAACTCAAATATTAAGTGATTTTAAATTCAAAGAGTAGTGAGTAAATATAAATACAAAGACCAGCAATTGTTTTACACATGTACCTTTACAAAATATGTTTAGTAATTGTAATTATATATGACACATTACATTTTTAAATTAAGTTGGATAGCAGGATTTAAGAGACCACTTCAACTTACTTGTAGAGATCTTGGTAAATGTAAAATATGTCAATTACATGTTCAGAAACATCTTTAACTTGTGTCACAGTGAATAGAGTCCAGAGAAATGAGAACAATGATAGCCATTCTACAAACATGGGATCTCAGTGACTGGCAAAAAATCACTGTAGTATTTTCATCATAGTGTTTCACCTCTGCAACCACCAATATCTAGAAAAATTGGTTAGAAACAAGAAACACAGCATTATTGGTATTTGCCACACCTAAAGATAATGTCATGTACGCTCACACAACCACATTGTCACAACAGCCATTCAGTGCAGACAGTGATTAACTCAGGCTGACAGTGTCTTCATACACTTCAGGTTGTCAGCAAGCAATTCTAAATATGTGTAAGAAAAAATGCCAAAGAAATATTTCTGAAAATTTAAATACTTTTTTCAAAATAAATTTTAAGAAAACTGGTAGAAATATAAAATTTTGCAAACTATGTAAAGAAGCCTTCAAGCAAAATATGAAATATGGTACACAATATGTAAAAGCGTATAATAAACTATTTGCATAATGTGTTAGGATTGCCTGATTTGTCAAGAACACACTTTTGAGAACTGAACATAGAACAACCAAAAATATGCAATTTCATAAGAATCTGGTCTCTAGCAATTATATTGTTTCCTCATTTCATTAATTTTGATAATAAGCAGTGAAAGATGTAAAAAATATTTTTCAGGTTTTCAGTTTTCCATGTTGTACATATGTACTTCTCTATTTCACTTTTCTACTGTTCTTCTGTATGTGCAATGTGGTGGCAGGGGTTATGCTGGTTTTATTTAATATTAATATATTCAAATTCAAGTATATTATTAATATTCAGAGTCATTTTTAATGAAGCCTTGAACTGAAATTGCTTTGTTGCTTAGAGCCATCATGAAGACCTGAGTGAGGAGTGTGGTCGCCTAAGAGTGACGCAACTCCAAGGTCTTGATGCACGATCCAAGCTGGAGTCTGCTCTTGAGGCCGCAAAACTGGAAGTGCAGAATGTGCAGCGAGCCAAGGAAAAAGAGATGTCAAACTTGAAGGTGTGATATTCAATTTAAAATTTCTTGTTGGAACTTATGAATTGTTTATTATTTCTTGGGATTGAATTATTTTAACACATTGTAATTGTGCTTAAAGAACCCTTTTTAGAACGTAAAATAAACCGAAAAATAATTATTGCAAGCAATAGAGGATGTCTAGAAAAATAAATAAATTTTGAAAAATCTAAATACAAACTCATTTACATGGAAAATACTGGAATTTTCTGCTGGAATCCATTCAGTCGTTCTTGTTTATGGATGACTTCCTTTTTATTAAGGAAATTGCTTCTAATGATTTCTATGTCCATTATTTAAAACAAAAACACAATGCAAAACACAGAGAAAGCATGAGACGTATAGTGTAAAACAATTTTGGCACAACGTTATTCACAAGAAAAATTAACCATTTAGATGCATTTATGGTCAACAGTTGAAGGGGTTAGTAAAGATAATCTGACACACTTAAGTAATTTTCAGAAAAAACTAATTTAAGTTTCGCAGCCCTTTATAAATGTGCATTTTAATTTATGAGCACAGTTTGTACATGAATATACACATTATTATGTTCTTAATTTTTCAAGAAATAAATAAAAAATTATCACTCTCCCATCATAGTTTTTATGTGACAGTGCTATGCTAATAGGAGAGTTATATTTGTTAAAATGGCTCAATGGGTTTCTTTGTTACTAACTATTATCTGAATGATTCGTTTACTATTCTTATGTAACATGTGCTTCATTATGACAATAGGAATGCTGGATACTATGTATTAAATTCCTAAATTGCTAAAATTGTGCACACTAAGCATCGTTTTTGTAATTTTCTCTAAAAGGTTTCAAAAATATCCTTAGGGGAAGTGTGTATAAATTCATCCTAATATTCTCTTGTTGTATTCTCAATAAAGTTACAAAAAAACATTGAGAGCATTGTATCTTATAAAAAATCATAAATGTTGCTAATGACTATCTTTCACTGAACTGATTTACAAGTTATTAATTTGAATGGCCTGTAAATAATCGTTATCCAAATTGTGCTTTTTGGAGAGCAGACAGTTACCATTATTTAAATTATGTTACTACCATTCATTACTCTTTACATTATTAAAAAGGTTTTGCAAATAGAAAGAGCTTAGTATTACAAAATAAATGTAGAATTAACTGCATTAAAGACACTGTTGAGGTTCTATTGATTGATTTTATTTGAAATTTGGTATCAAGTAGACAACTGAAGATTCGTTAGACAGCGTTCTTGTTTAATTCTAGTATCAATATAACTAAATGGTCCACTTTTTGTGCTATAGGTGTCCATATTTATTACTCAGATTTATTTGACACTGCTGCTTAAATTATATTTGTAAAGACTGCAAATAACTGGTTAAATCAAATGTCCCTACTTTTAAGAGCATGAATTGTAACTTTTCTCATTACTGATGACAAGAGTCCGGAAGTTGGGCTTCTGTTATGGTTAAGGTTTTAAGACTTTTAACAATAGGAACACTTTTCATTTTGCCTATTTTAACTTCTGATGCCTTTATTTACCTTATTTTTGCCCTTATTGTGCTTTTTTGTCTTTATTTTCATTTTTTTCTCCTGGCACCAATCTTCATAGAGAAGGAAACTTGGACAACACAAAGGCAAGGTCACATTTTGTCTTTCTTAGCAAGCACAGGTTCCAGGGCTAGGAAGTATTTTAAATCTAAATGAGAAAGGAAAATTATATCACTCAAGATTTTTGGATTGCTTTCATTAAGGGATTTGTTTGCTCACAAAGAATCACAACCTGCCTTTGAGAATGGCCTTGATCCTTTTTGAGGACAGATCTCTCTGGGCAAGATATGCAATGCAGCCCTTCTCATTGCCAGCAATTACACGAGTGTAAAGAACAAAAAGTAAAATCATTTTTTCACATGTGACATTCCAAGATTCATAAGACAGTCCACAATAGCCTTTTATATAGACAGCATCACATGTGAAATTAATTTGTAGACATTATTCTGAAATTTAATTCTGTTAAAGAATTAATCAAATTTAACTCTGGAATGCCATTAAGAATAAAATGATTGTGAAACTGATAAAGAATCTTTAAATATATGGGGGGGGGGGTATATAATTTAATACGCGTAACTAAAATATGTGAATGAAAAGAGACTTATAAAACAAAGAAATGTGTGTTTTATGAGAATTCAATTGTTTAATGAAAAGTTAAAAGTTCATTGCAAAATAATACACTTACTTGAGAAATGACTGGAAATCATCACAAATTACTTCACAGCCAGGCCATTTGTAAACTCCATGCCCATATAGTGGATGCATGTTCTCTCCACTGTTTTCAATTAATTTGTCATCGGATAATCCTGTGACTCCATTTAAATTGTCCCTTTGGTCAATTCCCATGGAGTTAAGCAATTCTGAAACACAGAAGTTGATTATTAAGGAACAGAACATTTTAGCCAGAATACTTTCTGTGAAAATGCCAGCCACGTGTAACTCCATGTAGCTCATGGCTGTGTAATGACATGTTATCATCAGGGGAAGGAATGCAGTCGGGTGTTATCTTGCCATCGAACAGAAAAAACTGAAATCTCTAATTGTAAATAGGAACAGGATTGCTAAGAGAACAGAATGCTCAACTAAAACACGTATGATTATTGCTCTCTGTACTGTCTCTCACTGACCCCTTCAGTAAATTTATAAAAGCTAAATCTATACATCTAAATGATGTTCAACAGTATTTGTTGCAGAAGTAGCAATGCTTAAAAGCTTCTTCAGCTTTAAATACTGTAGCTCGTACAGCAGTTGTCTTTGAAAAAGAAATGATTTTGTAGTATCGGGGATGCTCAAAATATGTATTTCAATCAAAAATTTGATATTAGTCTTTTGTAGAATCATGAAAAACTCTATAGATGTAACAGAAAGTAAAAAGAATGTATTTAGTAAATAGAGAATTGGAACAATGTTGTTATTTTGTTGTACGGCTGTCAGGTGCACATGTGTGGTGCGTAAAGCAAAAGTGGAAATGCTGTAATAAATTTTCCAAGAGCTAGTGCAAACAATATTGGTTTGTTGTGGTTCACTACTGAGTAATATATGTAACGTACAGTTTTCACGATTGTTAATTTTGAAATGACTTGTGCTTATTTTGCTTGCAGAACCAATATCTTCAAATGGAGGTAGAAAATGAAAAGTTGCAAAAACAGAATAAGGAGTTGACTGAGAATGGAAAGGAGTATAATAGCAACTTGAATCACCTGCAGAAGGAAGTCTTTCAACTCAATCAGGCTCTCCTGGGTTTGCAGGTATAATCTTTTGCAGACAATAATTGATATAATTAAAGTAAATTATGTTCAGTTATCATGGGTTATATCATGCATTTCTTCTTCATTGTACAATAAATAAAACCAATAAGAATTAATTATATTTTCCTGTTTGCATTGCTATTTTTAATGCAAGAAATATTTGTTTCTTGACTTTACATGTATAGTATGTTGCTAAGCCTAAAAAGTTTAGAAGAGCTTTGGCCTGACTAACCAGTTTCTGAAGTGTAGAAAACCATGAAGCTTCCTTACTCTCTTATAGAAATAAATTTACTCAAATTAATACATGTTCAAATGGGGGGAAAGGAGGCATCAATGATCAATTCATGAAGATGGCATCATTAATGATAGCTATCTTTCAGATACAATCTGATTTTCTCTGTTTGAAAGACTCCTGATTCGGTTTGCTACAATTATTTGTACGTTTGAAGTTTGTACCTGTTCAGGGTACACCTTGCTGTTACTTATTTTGGAGGGAGATCTACATACTGTGAAGGATCTGCAAAACATTTTGATGTTGTAAAGGGCTTGTGGTATTCGTATGTTTCTCACTAAAGCTGCTCCGAAATACCTTTTGAGCACAGTGGCATTGTCTGCAAACAAGAATTTTTAGTAATTAAGATAATGGCCAGACTCAGAACTTGAACAAATTTTGAAAATAGTCAGAAATGTAAGGTCCAATATTGGCAGGCCAGGCGGTTAATGTGGGTATGGTGGGTAGCTATATCCACATGAAAAATTCCGAGTAAGTAATATACCCACTCGGAATTTCGGGCAAGAGAAATATTTCATAAATGTCAAATTCCAGAAATGAACGAAGTTTCTGGTATTGCATCTACTTAAAATGTATATGCAATCTACTAAGTTGCAAGATTGGTTCAACGGTATTGTAATTTTACATGTTCATAGAGAGATGACAGAAAATCAATTTACAAAAATTGTTAAATTGGATTATATTAAAAAATGCAAAGCACAGTGCATTGCATTGCAAAAATGAACTCTGAACTGAATGCTGAAGTTGTATAAAATATATGTGATAACAATATGATGTTAATTTAATGATAATATGACATTTTGAAAAATTTGTTTTTCATTTTCCCATGAATATTTTTGGGGGATGATGAAGGGGATGGTGACCTCACCTGGGTCAACTACGCCCTTGGTCTTAACACTAATCACCAGCCCTGAATATTCATATTGAATTTCAAATGATGAGGAAAGAGATTTTTGTGGAAATTTCTGATCTGAAATCATAGTTACCAGCCATTGGTTTGAACAACATAAAACATGAAGTTCAAATGAGTCAGCTGACTGTCACTACAACTGTTGGGGAATGAAGAATGACAGGTCTTAAAAAACAATATGCTTATTATGATTAATTTCTTCTTGAAACAAGTTTTTCAGCAAGAAATTAAATAATCTTTGGTGTGTCTGATTAGCTAGGTCTATGCCCTTTTTATTCAGAACAAAAGGATAATGAAATAATAAAGCATTTGTTTTTAATATACAAAAACTGCTAGTGATTTGCCTGTCAGAATCTATTATAGAGTTGGTAAATTTATTGCTACCTCCCTTAAACCATGCCCTCTTAAGATCATCTTTGTCTATCAATTCAACACACCATTTGTTCTCTTAAAGTACTGAGATTGTCAGAAGGGTCTCCACCCTTGATATATTGAGTACTACTCAAATCAAACTCCCCAAAAAGATGGAGCAATTCTGGGCATTTAAAATGCAATTCTCACAGAAACCACAGGAGGAGCAATGGAAGTTGCGAGTACAGCATGTGAGAAATGTTTCAATGAGTTCAAAGATGTATCTCACAGATCCTCCTTCAGCTAGTTATCATCAATATTTAGGTTTGGCATTACATCATTAGATATAATAGTGATCATGGAGTCCAGTTTAAAACCTGATGTTGACTATTCTGAAGTTATGGACTGGAACATATGTGATGTAATGCAGCATATTTGAACTCAGAATATGGAGTGGTGATGTTTTATTGGTTAATAAGAAACGAGTGAACCTAACTTCAATATGAGTTAATGTTCTTGTGGTGTTGTCGTTACTGCTATTGAAAATATTTTCCACTTAGTTCACTGTTGTTCTCAGTATTCCTCTTACATTTAGTTTTAACTTCTGAAAATGTTAAAGAATTGATGGTTGTCAATGAAGGGTGGAACGACAAACTTTTGTTATTAGATGATTTTAATATTCCTCAATATTTTACCAATAGTTGAGGTTTTTGGTCAAGTCTTAAGATCCAAACTTTGGTACTTAGAATCTTATCTACAAGATCCTAAACAATATATTAGGACAAGAAATTAAAGTAGCCAATGACCAAGTTGTCAATGCCACTGTAAATAAATGGGAAAACTAGTGGTGCTACAACATCACAGACTTTCTCACATCATTTCTAGATTTGCAATTTTTGAAATCAAAGAGCTAAATGAAATGAAACCTGCACTATTCTGTTAAACATTCCTTAAACTATCCATGGGAAATATTTGGAGTGTTTTTTCAAAAAAAAATTATTTTTTTTAAATTGCATTAATTTCAAGCACAAATTTCACGAAAACTACTCATTTAAGAAAAAAAATGTATGCCTTTTTAAAGAGATGAATATTTGGAACAGATTTGGTTTAACTTGAAAATCTCTATCTTTAATTTTGAAGTATTGAAATTTTAAAAGTTTTACAGTTATTCAACATACAGAGTTTCATTGTAAATAGACCTGCTCTTTTTTACTGTCATTGAATGTACATGAACAGCCAAAAAATATAAGAAAAATTAAAATATGTATTCTTGAGTAAAAAAATTTGTGTAAAAAAAATTAAAATTGTCCTCTATTTCATGCAAAATTACAACAAAAACTATTCATCTTTAAACATTTGGTGCTCAATCTTCTTTCAAGATATGTTTAAAGATAGATTTTATTAAACACAAAATAATCTCCATCTTCAATATTGTAGTTGTAGGAAGACGCCCAAAAAAATTTAAAATTTCAAAAACTTAACATATTTTCACAAAAATTGGTAACATGCATCATTCTCTTAAGTGTTCTTTATGCTTTTAAAGGACTAAAGTTTAATCAAAAAGTTTGTAGCCATTTTTGATAAAATTTTGAAAATGTTGAGACTTTGAATAAATTACCCCCAAAAATTAAAATATCTGTTTCAAACCCAGAGGGTCGCGAGTTCATTTAAATTGTTTGGGGAATATCTCCTGATTTAATCACTAGCTTTCACCGCAGACAGACATTTTGCTATCAGTCAATTTTTCTGTATCAAGAACCCATAAAACATGGACTCTGACTTCAAACTGTTTAGAGGAAATAATTTACTATTATAGGAACACAATTTATCTAATTTTTTGGTACTAGGGCCTAGCAATAACAGTTTTTTGTTGAAAATTAGCCGTTTTCGGTGTAGGATTACAATACTTTCCCTTTACAAAGTAGGAGCAAGAAAGTAAAAAAGTAATTACAATTATTGAAAAGAGGTTAGTGGATTAAGTTTCTTATGATCATTTACATTTGTAAAATTCTTAGGGATATTATTGTTTGCCCCTGTATTTACTCCGATATTTCATTGTTGGTTCCTCATCTTGTGCCGTGTAAACCTGTGTATGAAATTTTGTCAGCATATAGATATATGGTATGTTCCAGACTCAATAGAACGACTGGTCTTGTAAGACTGTGTCAAGTGAGAGAAGTGACAAAGATGTTTTTACAGATTCTGTATTAACTTTTTTGCTTAAGCATTGGAGTAGGTTAATTCACTTAAATGAGAATGAGCAAACTGTATATAAATAAGTCCTGTTAATAAGTTTATCCTGCTGGCTCTTTGTTAAAAAAACATTCATTCTGTTTGCAGGGTGAACTGAGTCGTTGTGAAGCTCATAGCAGCAACCCTGTTCAGATGGTGGGTCCTGCTAGAATGGCAGTGGGGATGGGGGTGGGCAGTGCCCCCAAAGCCTCATCTGTACCGAAGCCTTCCTCGTCTCCTGTGGCTGTAGCTCCTGACCTCCGTGCTCATGTACTTCAGGAGCCTCAGCATGACCATGGCCCAGAAGAAAAGGTTAGAAACCAATATGCAGTGCATTCTACATAGAACAAGTATGTCCATCATTACCATTGTCTCTACAGTGACTCTGAGTGGGAGATCCTAAGTTTGAATTCTTGTGATGGTGGATTTTCAACACTAGCTCGATAGCTAGGGTGAATTAAGTTGCTAATATCTTTGCCATCTCCAGTGCATTAAGAGAATTTAGTGCCACCAGAGCAAGGCAATCAAAGTGCTTGTCCCATTTGTTAAAAGAAATAGATAAGTTCAATACATAATTTGAGTTAAGAAATGGTATTCAGTATTCCACGAATGGCTAGAATCCAACTGATGAAAAGTATTGCAGAACTGAAGATTTTGATCTCTTTTTTTATCACAGTTGTGAAAAAAACCAAAGGTTGCAAGCTAGTCCTTTCATGAACAGTGTTGCAGAAGGACAATATTACATTTGCATATTGGACAATATGGCAAATCACAGTGCATTATTTTACGAGGTTTAACTGAGTCCCTATTTTTACAATGATAAATTAATTTTTTTCTTTAGCAGTTTTTCTTGCAATCTAAAAATATAAATAGGAAAAAAATATTCATGAAAATTAGTAGAATATACCAGACATCATAGAAAGATGCCAGGTTATTATTCTTTTATTGGTGTATTCATTTTAGCCAGTCTTTCCAAATTCCTCAATGATTCAATAGAAAATTTTTTAATTGTTTGGTTTGGATTGAAGAAAAGCGAGAATGACCCAAAACTAGACTAGAAAAGAACACTAGATCTAGGAAACTAGTTCATGCCAGTATTATGCATAAAGGTTTCATTAAACAACTGCCCTATTCAATAATGAATTAATTTTTAACGTTTGATCAATGCAAAATGTAGATTTAATTTTGAACTCTTGAATATTATGAATCTCAACACAACTCGCTCTGAACATGGATTTTAAGGATCACCCATTTCCTATTACTACACAAGTTTGAAGTACAAATACAAGCAAACAAAAATTCATATTCAACAAGTCTCTTAAGTAGCGTTGAAAGAAGCACTTAAATAGCAAACAAACCTTTACTTTAGAAATAATTAGTAGATCTATTAATTTTTTAAAGGACTTATTAAAATGTTTATGAGCATTTGTTAAAAACATTAAAAGGAACACAAAAATCACTATGTGAACTTCTGACAGATCGCAGATATCTGTTCTCAATGTGACACCTTATAGACCCTGAGCCCAGCTTTGAGGGGATTGTCAAGACGGTAAGAGGGGTGGAAACTGACCTAGTAGGATAAGGGTGCAGTTAATTTGAATTAAAGAAGTTCAAATTATTCAAGTATGTCTGTATAACTAATATACATTTTTTAAACTCTTTGAATGCTACGGTCATGCCTAGAGAGAGTCATGCTGTGCACACAATAAGTATAGTTGTCAGTGCCATTATTTGATGAGCCCGCCTCTAGGGCTGAGTTCAGCGCAGTCAGCCTGTAGTAACTCAGATTATGAATCATAACCGAATGCTGTTATGAAAGAGGTAAACTAGTCTGTGTTTTCACTTATAAAAAACTCTGAGTCATTCACATCAAATCACATACTCACAAAACATCACCATTTGTGGCTCGAAACTTTTTTGAGGCAATTAAAATATTACCAATAGAAACTAACCTTGAATCCTGTCAGGAACCTATTAATTTACCCAGAAAGTTATTTAATGAGCTGATGATAATGTGAAGAACTTTACTTTTATATTTTTAGCAATTCTGAATACTACTTAGAAAGAGGATTATCGCAACAGTGATATGAAACAAAAAAATTCAATAGACGGCACAAAGAAAATACACAAGTTTCATTTCTTAATGAAACAGTCAATAAACGATAATATCTGTACAGAAAATTATAATTAACACACACATCATACCCATATTCGTATAAATATTCTATCCCTTTGATACTTCTTGATTGTGAATTAAATTCAAATTAAAATCATAATTATACACCCAGTACTTAGTAAGATGGGAAGGGATATTTCTATTTATTGTTGTATGAAAGTATAATGATGGTTATCGTGTACTGCGGAATGGTGCATGCTTAATGGTGACACTAGCAGACACAGCAGCAAAGCAAGTAGACATTTCTATTGTATTTTACTTCTCAGAATCCTCTTTGAAATTCACCAGACTTATGTAGAATTTCAGAGAATACAATGGTATTTTTTTAGAATGTTTAAATTAATGAATTCAGTACGCTCATCAAATGTAAGAGCATCTTTTTATATTTAATATTGTAAAATATTAAATTTCTGTCACAATCGCAACACAAGTTACAAACGACTAACTTAAGCAATGTGAGCATTTTTTAAAAAGTTTTCAAAATTAATATCTTCTCGAAAAATAATCTTTGGAAACAAACAAATAACATGCATTTCTTATTTTGTGTATACTTTTCCTAGGGAAAAATGTTAAAATATAGGGACATCTAGATAAAAGTTTCCTTAAATTTGTGGGATTTGACATGGAATGACTCAGTTTGAAGACCCACACTTTTTCTTGAGTCTCTGCTCAACCAGCTCAGCGCAACCCACCCTATTTGATCAATTATAGCGATTTGTATATACTGTGGTAAGTCGAGCAGTGATGTGATTGTGAGTAGTAAGAAATTGTGTGTGAACCTCAG